TGTTCGAGTGGGCCCAGTAACGTCCCCATCGTGAGACTTGATGTTATTGTGTTTGGCATATCAAATACGTCATGGGGAGCTTGCCAGGCTTTGCCCTGCGGGTGAGATACTCTCGGTAGCTTGCCAGGCTCTCTGAGAGGGGCGGAGGAATCAAACTCGGGTCGGCCATGTTGGCTGTGTGCAAGGCAAATGCCCTACTGCTGTGCTACCGCTGGAGAAACAGCACAGCGGGTAGGGCGTTTGCCTTGCATGCAGCCAACATGGTCAACACAGGTTTGATTCCCAGTATCCCATATGGTCCCCCGAGCACCGCCAGGAGTGATTCCTGAGTGAATGAGCCAGGAGTAACCCCTGAGCATCGCCGGGTGTGACCCACAAAGAAAAAAAAAGTTAAAACTATGTGTATGTTTCTATATTTTAACATATCCCCATAAAATAAAAATGATACTCACTAAAATTGATGCAGACATAAGGTAGGAACAGTAAAATTATTCAAATTAAATAAAATTTTAAAATAATATAACCATATGGGTTATGTTTTAGTCATTAATAATTCAATATAATCAAAACCACCTACATGGCTTGTTGATATCAGGGAGATGTTAATAAGTGGGAGAGAAGTAAGAAAGTTTATACATTAAATAGGTCCACATGTGTACATAAGAGTACAAAACACAAGATTCATCTGTATGTTGAGAATGTTATAAGAATGTATGTTATTTTAGGTAATTTTTTCCTGAATTAGATTATCTGTAATTATGCCATGTGTTACACACAGATGAGATTGGAGGGACTCATGACAAGTACGAGATGATCTTTTCATACTTGGTATATATAGCAGTGGAAGAGACAATGTCCAGTGAAAACAAATCATTAGTCTCTGAAGACAGAACTGATGTCACCAGGTGGTTGTGACGTAGGCAGGTAAACCAAGGAAGGGGCCCCTCAGATCATGACAATGAAATTTCTGAGAATAAATAAAGCCACCAGTCCTAAATCTGACTCACTGTGTGGATACAGAAAGCAAGACCTGATAAGAGCTTCTCAAGCAGCCCACCCTGAGGAGACTGGACCCCTTCTTACAGAAAGGGCCTGAAGGAAATTATTCAAGAACCCTCAATTCCTTCCTTTAATCTGATTAACTCTCAGCTATCCCAGTCCAGAGAAGGCTGGATCCACCCTCTGAGAGAAGATCCAGCAGGAACAAAGGTCAAGAAAAAGAGTTTCAAAAAAGACCACTTCCAACTTTACCCACTTAACAACAACCTAGCAAAGGACTCTTATCTAACTAGAAAGCCCCATGTGGGGGTGGCTTGGAAAAACCCTATAAAAGCCACCTTGAACAAAATGAGTTCAAGCATATGCTGCCCGAGTCCAAGTGCAATTTGCGCCCACATGGCCGAGCATATATGTCGCCCTCACACATGTGTCTCCTAAGTCTCCCCTCTTAAGATGTTGTATTTTCCTATCTAATGCTGGTATGTGTGTACAGCCTCACTCTGATGGCCAACTGGTCAGACTGCTGAGGCTTTGGCCCCTGCCAAGGAGGGTCTCAACACAGATTTATCAGTCGTAGTTTACCCAGCAGGGTCTCGGGGTGGCAAAGGTGGATCAGGAAAAGTGACTGTCTCTCCTCCCTGCCTCACACAGGACCCGTGAGGCCCACCAACATCAGTTCAAAGAGGGTGAAAGGGATCAATAAAATTGTGGTAAGGGATCATTGGCACTTGAGTGGTAAGTCTGATATGGTAACACTGAAGCATTAAAACATAATAAACATTTATACTCTTTTATTGGATAATGTTGGTTTGTCCTTTCTCCCTTGCTGCAAGGAGTTCAGGTTTATTGAGTTATATCCATCACAGTGCACCCCAGGCACTCCCATTCCTCTGTTTTTATCTTTAAATTCTCCTTTGTGCTCTGCTTGCCCTATCTGTTAATCACTATACGCCCAAATCAGACCCCGTGACTTGTAAAGCCAGATTCTTCTAAGGACTCTACAGTGGATAGGGAGCTAGCTTTGCATGGCACTGACCTAGGTTTGATATCTGGCATACCATATGATTCTCCGGTCCCATCAGAAGTGAGTCCTGCTCATGGAGCAGGGAAGAACTCTTGAGCACCATTGGGTGTAACCCCAAAACAAAGAAATAAAGGCAAGAGGTGGAGGGAGAGAAACTTAAATCAATATACTCAATATATGGGCACTGTTTGGAGCCAGTATAAAAAGAAATTTTAAAAAATAATGGGACACTCGGGCTTATTTTTAACACTGACTAGATATTTAATATTAAGGAATTATTATTTCTGTATAGTAATTTTAAGGTATTCTAGCTTTTGACAGATAAGGTATGTCTTGAATTTGCTTCATAATAAATCAGGGGTGAGTAATAGATGAAACAAGAATTTACTAACACAAGGTGTATGTACCTCTACTTATCTGTTGTTGGCCACTTGGGTTGCTTCCAGATCTTGACTATTATAAATAACACTGCAATGAACATAGGTGTGCATATATCATCTCAAATTAATTCCTTTGTGTTCCTGAGATATATACCTAGGAGTGGAACAGCATTTTCCAGAGGCTGAGCCAATTTTCAATTCCGCTGCCAATAGCTGAGGGTTAGTGTCACCAAATCCCCACCAGTACTTTTTTCTCATCTTCTTGATATAGGCCATTCTCATTCTCAGTAGCATAAATTGATGGATCATTGTCACTGATTGGAATAATCCATGATATACAACATCTCCTTGTTTCTGTGTCTGTTGGCCATAGCCATCTGTGTGTCCCCTTTGGAGGAGTGTCAATTTAGCAATACTCCCCATTTTTTAATAGAGATGTGTTTTTGGAATTGTTGAATTTGGGGAGTGCTATCTGTCTCTTGAAAACAAGCCACAAGGGTACCACTGAAGACAATCAATTTCATGGAGTGTTGTGACTATATTTTCTCAGATGTATTTTATGGATTTGTTTCTAAAATCTATGCCTTGAATCCTTTTTGAACTATTTTGTGTGCATGGTGTTAGTGGTCAAATTTCAACTTTTTGTGTGTTTTTGGGCCACACCAGCTGTACTTAAACCCAATTACCCAAGCACTATATACTAAAAAGTCTTTTCTATTTTATAAAATGACTGCCCATATACGTGAAGGTTTATCTATGCGCTCTCAATTCTATTGTTCTGAGTTTTCTGAGCAGGGGAAAAGGCTTGGAGTCAAACAGTTGTTAGGAGGGCTTCTGAGAGACAGAAAATGAAGCTGAAAAGTCTATGTAAATCAAGCGTTTATTGCCATAGGAGTCTGACCTGATCCCAGACAACAGGAGGAAGTGCCAAAAATGTTTTAAGCAGGGAAGGGCATGGATTTGCACTTTAATATAAACACTTTGGGGGTCCAAAGTAAAGCAGGCAAAAAAAATCGAAACATCGGCTGAACATTGGTTTATTTCTCTGGTACTTTCTGTATTTGTGATAGTACAATATTGTTACTGAGGGGTCCTTATTAGGATTTAAAGCTTTTGTAAATAAATGCTTCAAAAATGTTTACCAAAAATCCGAATTTGGGTGAACTACATCATTCACATTTTTTTTTCTACTGCTAGCCTAGCAGGGCATTTTAGACTCAAAAGTCTAAAATATAGACTTTTGGCATATATTTGACATTTTTAGACCATGGTTATTGAAATCTAGTTAGGGAACATCAGCTAAGCCAGTTCCGGTACACACTGACCCCTAAAGGAACCCTTTTTTTCCCTTTCATTACAGAATCCAGAAGATACTGACTTTTTTTTTTCTTTTTGGGTCATACCCGGCAATGCACAGGGGTTACTCCTGGCTACGCGCTCAGGAATTACCCCTGGCGGTGCTCAGGCGACCATATGGGATGCCGGGAATTGAACCCGGGTTGGCCGCGTGCAAGGCAAACGCCCTACCCGCTGTGTTATTGCTCCAGGCCCGATACTGACATTTTTAATCAAGCCCAAGTGTGTCTCCGCAGCGAATACAAACAGGAGAACCGCGGAAAGACTCTGGGACGTCTCTTTCCTGGTCTACTTTACTCCAGCTAAAGCTTGGAAAATGTCCTAAAAAAGCATCGCAAGGACCCGCCCTGTAGCCCCCAAGATTAGCGCTCAGGTTTCTTTTGTTCTTTCAGATCAAGACCCAGTTGACTGCTGACGATCCTCGCCAGGCCAACGCCATTTTTAGGCAGCTGTTTGCCAGTTGGCACTGGGGGACGAGCAAGACAGTCAGCTCCTTGCTGGGGATTGGGAAAGAGCAACTTCCCGGGCGGGGGAAACTCTAAAAGCGTTAGTTCAGTATTCCCCGATCTTGCCAGTTCTCTCGCTATCCCACTACGAAACTACCTCCTGTTTGCTTCGAAGCTAAAAGGAGCCTTTGTAGTGTCACTAGACACTACATCTGCGCCCAAAGAACCTAAACAAGGTTTGCTTGCCTTCACGTACCTTCGCTGCCGCCACATCCGCTATTTTCTCCGCCCAAACGTTCGTACAGAGCGCGCGGAGGGACAAAATAGTTCTACCCGGCTCCTGTCGCTAGTCCCTGCTAGTACTTTAGCTCACCTGCTCCTTGTCCGGGTTCTTCTCGGTCCTAGTGCCAATTTGGGAAGCTACCACAGTTTAGTCAGTTGTCTTCCAAAACCCTTTTTTTAAAGTTCCCTTTCTTCCTTTAATATAGTCATCGAGAACTTTCTCCTGGTTGCAATTGCTGTTTGGCGGGTCGCAGGATTTTTAATTGTTATTATTACCTGTATCACGTATATTGACTAGTTTATATAAAAATAAATCTCAAAATGGGAGCCATGACCAGTTGTTTTGGTTTGGGGGCCACACCCGGTGGTGCTCAGGGCTTATTTCCGGCTCTGACTTAAGGAAACACTCCTTTGGGGGCACGGGGTAACAGGGATCCAACAAACCTAGGAGGGCCGTATCCAAAGACAAAGCGCCACCGGAGCCAGAAGGCGAAGAGGCGGGAGCTGGAGCAGGCGGACTATGGGCGTGATCCGGTGACCAGCAAAGAGATCTGGGTAGAGCTGTTTTGTCCCTCCCCGCTCCCTGTAAGGACCTTTGCAAGGAGGCGATCGCAGATATGGCGGTTGCGAAGGTACGTAAAAACAAACCAACCTCGCCCACTTTCTTTGAGAGCTGGTAGCATCCTGCTAGCTCTAGAAAGGCTCCCCTTAGCGTCAGATGGGAGCCTCGCACTAAGCGGTAAGTAGCGGAGCAGTGCGATTGCGAGAGAACCGGCAAGGTCGGGGAATCTTGGACGGTAGGAGCCACCAGACACCTGCCTCTCGCTTGTAGAGTTTCCTCTGCCTGGGACGCTGCTATTCCTGATCCCCGGCAATGAGCTGTCTTGTAAGCCTTTCATTGAAAACCGCTCTTTCCCGATCCCCGGCAGGGGGCTGTCTCTATAGTAATCCAGTAAAAACTGGGACATAATTATAAAAATGGCCGCCGGCCAGTCCGTCAGCAATTATTTGGGTCTGGATCTGAAAGGAGGAAAAAGGAATCCTCCAGGGTGGAGCCTTGCGACCCTTCGAAGGACTTTGTCCAAACTTTATTTGTTGTGGAATAGACCTTGAAAGCGACGTTGCAGAGTCTCACCGCAGTTCTCCTGTTTGTTTTCGCGGCAGAGAGACTCTTGAGTTGGAGTAAAAATGTCAGTGTCTTCTAAATTCTGGAATGAAGAAAAACGCTTTCATTTAGTAGTCAGTATGTACCGGAGGTGACTTGTGTGGCTGCTCGCTGATGTTCCCCAAGTAGATTTCAGTAACAATAGTCTACCCACGTCAGATATGGATGTATTGGGTCTAAAATGCTCTGATAGACTAGCAATGGATAGAATTGTGAATAATGTCGAACAGCGAAATTTGGGTAAACATTTGTGAAGCCTTGTTTACAAAAGCTTTAAAACCAGATAGTACCCCTTGTATTGCAAATAATGTTTTGTTTTAAAAGAATCACAAAGTAGTAGCATTGTATCCACAAAACAATGTTCAGCCAATGTTTAGATTGTCTCAGTATTAGTCTCAATTCATGCTTCTCACTTTGTTTCAGCAAGTTCTGGCTCTCGTGCTTTATTTGAATTACCAACACCATCCTTTCTTTTTTTGTGTGTTTAGGCCACATCCTGCTGCTCAGGGATGGAAAGGTCCTCGGTGGGGTGGGGGGACTTTATGGGGTGCCAGGTATTGAATCCTGGTTGGCAGTGTGCAAGACAAGCACTCTACCTGCTCTACTATTGCTCTGGTCCACCAACACCCTTCTTACTGAACTGCCTCTGGCTTTATTTTTATGCAATCGTTTTTGCCGGTTTTCCCTTGGTTCCCCAGTGTTTCTGTAAAAATGCAAATCTAGCTATACCCTCCCTTGCTTAAAACAGTTGCAGCACTCCATCCTGATCTCTGGGGTCTGTCAGACCCTCATGGTTAGAACATTTGATTTGCTTTATCCTCTCAGCTCCATCTCTTATCTCTCCAAAACCCCAACAACTGTTGGACTTCAAGCCTTTTTTTCCTTGCTCTTCCTCTGAGTTCTGTGTTCCCTTTTCCCACTCTCCGTTCCTGCTCGTAGTTCATCCCTTTATCAGGTATGTTTATATTCTCCCAATTTGCTAAGCATACAATTCTTCTGTAATAAGAGTGTCCTTGGCCTCTCCACTCTTATTTTAATAATAGAGGGCAATTTTTTTTCTGTAGTCCTTAACTTTAAGCTACTTTAATGACAATACTTAACATTAATTTTTAAATCTTTAGAACCTAGCCACAGGTCTGACTTATGTACTCAATAAATTCTACATTTAGTAAGTTAGCGTCAGGTAATGAAGAATAAAGAGATTAACTTAAGTAGTTGAGTTTATACTATATAACACAAATAACTGATTTGTAGTATGGGAATGCTTTGCTTTAAAGAGTAGGAAGAAGTAGTCTTGAGGGTTCAAAAGAGAGGGCTCATAACTGTTGTGAGAGAATATAGAAAGACTTTATAGAGGAGATGCAGAGTCAGAAGAAATGGTCAGTGGTAAAAAGCAAACCATGATAATAGGATTTCTCTGAATCCTAAGGTAGAAGAGAGTTGAATGTTTGTTATATTTCATTTTAACATTGGCAGTTACCACAGTACTTGCCATGTCCATGTTTAGACTGCCCTCCCGTTGTTCATCGATTTGCTCGAACGGGCCCAGTAACATCTCCATTGTGAGACTTCTTGTTACTGTGTTTGGCATATTGAATACTCTTGGTAACTTGCCAGGCTCTCCAAGAGGGGCGGAGGAATCGAACCCGGTTCGGCCAGGCTGGCTGCGTGCAAGGCAAATGCCCTACCGCTGTGCTATCACTCCAGTCCTATGTTTAGACATTTTACTTAATTCTCAAGACAGCTTTATGTAGTAGATAATTATAATTATCATTTACAGATGAAAATAAAAGATTTGAAGAAGCCAAGTAAATTGCCCAGAGTCACGATGCTAATAAAAGTTGAAGTGAAATAAATGATTTGATTCTGGAAACCCTAAGAAATGATTCAACCTGCACAGGCAAAGAGGCAGGGTCCAGTCGGTGCAGCCCACTGGTTGACTCAGGATCTTTTAGAGTCCAAGACGCAGATTATTGGGTGATGCAGGTGGAAGGCATGGAACACATGTGATGAAACGGGAATTTGAGGTTGGTACTACATTTCTTCATATGAGAGAAATTTGTCAATTTCTCTTCAACCTCTTGCAATGAAAGTTATAGGTGCTAGCCCTGGACAGTCAAAAATCTGTATATAACTTTTGAGTCTTCAGAAACTTAATCACTTACTAAGTTTGTTATTAATCAGAAGCCTTGATGATTATATGGCCCGTTACTTCACATGCATGTTACATATACTATGTATTGTACTCTTATAATAGAGTAAGCTGTTGACACTGATGGCGGGATCTGGGTTTCAATATTGTATGTCTAAAACTTAATTTGAGTAAGTTTGTAAATCATGGTACTTTAATAAAATTGTTATAAAGGAAAATATTACTAAGAAAACATTGATGGAAATACATATATACTAAGAATATATTAATAGATATATATGTATATGGTACCATACACTTTATGGTTACTACAAGTACATCCATCTTTGAAATGAAACAAAGATATTTAAAAGAAATAAACAAGTAAGTCAGCTCCAGTTGTTTAGACCCATGTTGTTGAAGGACCAGCTGTGCCATATAACTTATTTAATGTATTTATTGCCTGTCTCTGCTCCACTAGAATATTATTAGCTATGCGAGAGCAAGAATTTGTTTTGATCCCTAATGTATCCCAATACTGAGATTAGGATCAGACATACAGTAGTTGCTCAGTTAATATTTATATACCGAGTGACTACTATTATGTATCTCATTTTATTTCTCATAGTTTCGATTCACTTCTTCCTGTTAATTATCATATTGCTTTATTCCATTTGAAGTAGTTAATTATCATTGCTAAAAAGGATCTTTTGAAACTGAGGCCTGATTAAATTAACTGGCACTACCCAGATTCAAGAGGAGCAAAAAGTTGTGATAAGAACTTGAGAGAAGACTGCCAAAAATTCAAATTTTTTATGACAATTCCTGGAATAAACTTTTATATATGCAAAGAACTGTAGAACAAGGGGAAGTGGAGAATATTCTGTATAGCCCCTTTGCGAGATTGGTTCAGGTTTTTCTCATTTTTATTGAATTTATTGTTTGCTCCCCCCCAATAGTCCCAGAACAAAATTGTTTTGCTTCAAATAATAAGTAATACTTTACCATCTATCACGAGAATTTTGAGTACATGGAGTCATTTGGAATGTTTACTATAATCAAATAAAGCGCACAGTGTTTATCAGAAGCCCCCAATTTATACTGTCTTTTTGATAAATGTTTTTCTAGATGGGAAAGCTGACAACCATACCTGCAAGTCTGATATGCACATCTATAGTTGTATATGCAGCTAAAGAAGATGAACTAAAAATGCAGCTAGTGAAACCAGAGCAGGTAATTAAAAGTTTGTGAATATTATATAATGTAAATATGATGCAAATGTGATCATAAAACATATATAACATAATCCCTAAATTTATAGTACTCGTATTGCTAGTATACTAATATATTATATATCATGCTATTCATATTATGAATTATTATGTACATACACCACGTGTTTTATTAGTATATTGAGGGACACTATGTTTCTCTTATGTTGGCTTTTGTGACTAAGTCTGCAGTGAAGATAGCCACTTTAAGATCCAGGTTTTATATCCTTTGTATATATCCTAAGAAACGTGAGTCCTGTATCAACTTTTTTGAGAAACATCCATAGTTTTTCATAATTGCTATACTAATTTATATTTGTACCAATGTGTATATATATGATATAGGTCAAGTCATAGGTGATTTATCCAGTTCCCCAAAAGATATAGGTCTCCTAGGGTACTTCAAATCATGTTCATGGAAGAAGCAGGAAGTGAGGGAGGTACTGACTTCCAAAGATACTGCTATGGACTTCCTATTGTACTCACTTTGGTCTCCCTGGGCAGTGTCTGGGGTGTGAGGTTCAGATTAGTCACATCTACCACAAGTACCTGCAGAGGGTGAATACTAGCATTCCAGCAGCCCTACTGAGCAGCTTCTTCAGTAGACTTGATCTAAATGTTGGGAAGCTGTCCTTAGCTGTCCCTATAGAGAAAGAAGAGAGAGGGAGTGAGAGGAAGGTGAGAGAGATAGAACACACATACACACAAAGCCCTGAGGACTCACTCAGTGACAGGAGGTATAAGTGTATAGTGTGAGGTGCAGTTAGTAGAGTTGCATATGCACTTGCACAGTTCAGAGTACAAGCAACTGCTAAAGGAATTATGGGAGCAAAGAGTGGATGTTGGCCTGGAAGGTTGAATGAGCAAGCAATGCCTCGAAGTGGCACTTAGGAGATGGCAGAGTTCAGGCATAGATGCTGCTGGCACTCAGTCAGAAGGGAGGATAATTATCTTCCTCTTCCCAAAAGACCCTAGAGATGTCATTAAGAAATTAGTCTCAGCTGTATGTTTAACTGCCCAGAGGACTAAGTCTGGGATTTATGGTAAAAGCCTTGCTTGCTCTCAGCCCAGAGAACTGTTTTGGAATCTGTAGCTCTTATTGTGTTTATCCAAATAACTGCAAGTATTAATAAGAAGTAAACATAATTGTTTAATATGTACAACTTAAGGGAAAGAGGAAAGCAATATAGAAGTCCTTGGGAGATAGAGTGTATTCTTGAGTTAATCTTCCCAAGAGAATTGCCTCTGCTGAAATGTTTTACCTCTGTAAATGATCAATCGCATATATGTGCAGTCCTATACCTCAAACCCCTTCAGATGTTCTTTGAGTACGCTAGCAGCCTTGCATTAAATGGACCATTTCCACCATCAATTTGTGGTCCCGACTCTTTGTTTCTCTGAGGAGGCCTGGGGAGGATGGGGAGGCGGCTCTCAGCCACCGAATACACGTGTAGTGCAGCACCGACACTTTGTGCCTGGGTAGGCACGAACAACCGACCTTTTGGTTAGATGTGAGCCTAGGTTCACCAGGAATGATCTCTAAGTACAGAGTCAGGAGCAGGCCTTGAGCACAGTTGAGTGCAGCCCCCCAAATCAGAATGTGTTGCTGTAGTTATTATTGTCGCACTGTAGCACTGTACTCCCGTTGTTCATTGATTTGCTCGAGTGGGCCCAGTAACATCTTCATTTTGAGACTTGTTGTTACTGATTTGGCATATTGAATATGTCACAGGTATTGAATACGTCATGGGTAGCTTCCCAGGCTTTGCCGTGCGGATGAGATACTCTCTGTCTCGGTATCTCTAGGTAGCTTGCTGGACTCTCCGAGAGGGGCGGAGGAATCAAACCCGGCTCAACCAGGCTGGCTGTGAACAAAGCAAACGATGTCCTACTGCTGTACTATTGCTCCAGCCCCCCACCCCCTTTTTTGTATATGGTTTGGTAATAGGGATCTGGCCTCTTTTTTTTTATGTGGCTATCCAGTTTTGGTAAAACTCCACTCAGCATTATCCCCTCCACTTTCATCAGAGTAATGGTAAATTATCCAGTTCTTGGCCCTTAGATTGTACTCAGATCTTGACTATTGTGAATAGTGCTGCAATGAATTTGGGAGCAAAAATGTATTTTCCAAATAGAGTTTTTAGACCCTTAGGGTAAATGCCAACAAGTGGAATTTATAGCTAACATGTAAGCTCTGTTGTTAGTTGTGGTTTTTTTTTTTTTTAGAAATAATCATGTTCTGGGGGTATGGTGCCGCCAGAAGGCCGATCTGTACCTGTGAGGCAAGTGCATCAGCAGCCTGATGGCACCTTCAGACTTCCAGATACCACAAAATTGTTGCTGTGCCTTTGGCCAGACTCCAAAAACTTGGGGCAAAGTTTACCAAGAAAGTAAATGGCCAAAAGTTAGGTATGTGGGAGACATCCCCACACACCACCTCCAGCTCAGCTATATAATTGGAGGCAAGACCTCACTGGTTCCTGATTGAACTACTAAATGGCCATGATCGCAGAGACTCAGAGACAAATCTCGAAACCCAGTGGCTTTTAGCAGAGATGAATTCAGTCCCCTCAATGAGTTACCAGTGCTGCACCACCCCAGGGGGGAAGGGTGTTGTCCCTCGGCCTGCTTCCTCTTGGCGGCTCGGTGGCCACCATCCTCCAGAAGCCATTGGACAATCAGGTTTGGGCCCTCAGTGATGAGAAACGCGGAGCCTCACAATATGGGGGTGGAGCCGGCTCTTTCCTCCCCACCCCATCAAGACCCCCGAGTCGCCCCCCACAAACATCCTCTCTGGCTCCTGATCAAGCTGTTTAATTGCCATGATCCCAGAGACTCAGAAACAAATCTTGGAACCTAGTGGCTTTTGGCAAAAATGCGTCTGGTCCCTGCAGTAGTTTGTGGGTGGCGGGCCACCCCAGGTGGGAATAGATTTCATGCCTTGGCCTATTCCCCCTGGTGACCCGGTGGCTGCCAACCTCCAGAGACCACTGGTCAGGTTTTGTCCCGTAGTGAAGAGACACACAGGGCCTCACGGGGTGGGGGTGGAGCCAGCCCTTTCCTCCCCATCCCAATGAGACCCCGAATTACCGCCCATTAACAGTTCTCTGGCTCCTGATCAAGCTGCTTAACATCCATGATCCCAGAGACTCAGAAACAAATCTCAGAACCCAGCGACTTTTGGCAGAAATGTCGGTCCCTGCAGTTGGTTACCGGCGCCGGGCCACCCCAGGTGGGAATAGGTTTCTTGCCTTGGCCTATTCACCCTGGCGGCCCGGTGGCCGCCAACCTCCAGAGACCACTGGACAGTCAGGTTTGGGCCCGCAGTGATGAGATACGTGGGGCCTCATGGGATGGGGATGGAGCCGGCCCTTTTCTCCTCATCCCCAAAAGACCCCGAGTCACTGCCCACAAACAGCCTCTCTGGCTCCTGATCCAGCTGCTTAAATACCATGATCCCAGAGTCTGAGAAACAAATCTCAAAACCTAGCGGCTTTTGGCAGAAATGCGTCTGGACCCCACAGTAGGTTACTGTCACCGTGCCAGCCCATGGGGGAAAGGGTGCTGTCCCTCTGCCTGCTCACCCTAGGCGGCTCAGTGGCCGCCATCCTCCAGAGGCCATTGGACAGTCAGTTTTGGGCCCGCAGTGATGAGACATGCGGGAACTCATGTGATGGGGGTGGAGCCAGCCCTTTCCTCCCCACTACAAAGAGACCCCGAGTCGCCACCAACAAATGGACTTTCTGGCTCCTGATCAAGCTGTTTAATGGCCAGGGTCACAGAGACTCAGAAACAAATCTCGGAACCCAGTGGCTTTTGGGAGAAATAGTTCTGGTCCCTGCAGTAGATTACCGGCGCCTGGCCACCCCAGGTAGTACTAGATTTCGTGCCTTGGCCCATTCTCCCTGGCGGCCCGGTGGCCACCATCCTCCAGAGGCCACTTGACAGTCAGGTTTCGGCCCGTAGTGATGAGACACTCGGGGCCTCATGGAATGGAGGTGGAGCCGGCCCTTTCTTCCCCGTTCCAACGAAACCTCGAGTTGCCGCCCATGAAACGGCTCCTGATCAAGCTGCTTAACGTCCATGATCCCAGAGACTCAGAAACAAATCTAAAAACCCAGCGACTTTTGACAAAAATGCATCTGGACCCTGCAATAGGTAACTGTTGCCGGGCCACCCCAGAGGGGAAAGGGTGATGCCCTTCCACCTGCTCCCCCTTGTGGGCTTGGTGGCCACCACCCTCCAGATGCCATTCAACAATCAGGTTTGGGCCCTCAGTGACGAGACAGGTGGGGCCTCACGGGATGTGGGTGGAGCCAGCCCTTTCCTCCCCGCTCCAACGAGACCCCAAGTTGCCACCCATGACTGACCTCTCTGGCTCCTGATCAAGCTGCTTAACAGCCATGATCCTAGAGACTCAGGAACAAACCTCAAAACCCAGCAGGTTTTGGCAGAAATCCCTCCAGATTTAATTTTTAAAATTTTGGAATTTCAAAATCGTGCAGTGGCCACCACTGCAACTCCGTGACACCATATGCTATTCATAACCAGCAATAGAAGACAAATTGTCTACTGTTGCCTTTTCAGCAGATCCGAATGTAGGGGTAAAATCCCAAATATTTTTGGGTCTGTGTAGAAATATTGAATGTAATCAAAGTAGAGAGAGAGTAATGTGGAAATCATCTTTTCTTAGTAATTTCTTTAGCTTGAATGCTCTTTTATCCAATACAAATATGATAATTACTGCTTTTTAAAATCTGTCATTTTGGAGGACATGAGGAAATGGAAAGATATCCCCTGCTCATGGCTCGGGAGACTTAACATTGTCAAAATGGCAATACTACCGAAAGCATTGTATAAATTCAATGCAATCCCTATAAGGATACCCATGACATTCTTCAAAGAAATGGAGCAAACACTCTTGAAATTTATATGGAACAATAAGCCCCCACGAATAGCTAA